ATTTTATTTTGTTTAATTTAATTTAATTTTAATTTTTTACAATTTTAATTCAAAAATCCCAAACTGTACTCTGTAGAGTCCCAATTATGTTGCAGAATGTTGTTGAATGTAAATATTATAAACAAGAAATTACGCAACCTTCTTGCCGATTCAGAATTGATAGATCTATATGTTTTGAAAGTTCTCAAATTTGAACATGCCTTTTTTACTCTTACCTATAAATTCCAAATGTAGTCGAGATCATGCAACTTCCTACACGAATTGCACTCTGGGAGCTGTATCTATCAGCACTGAGAAGCAAGAGAATCATGAGGCATGGCTGAGTGTTTTGGGAGCTGATTGGTTATTGATTCTCAATATACCTTTAGATATTTATTTTAATCAATTTAATGAATAAATTGTATAAACTTAAACCTACATTTTTATTAAAAGATTGATTAAGTAGTTATCGATTCTCAAAATGGCGTAATAGATGATTCATACTGTTTTTTATATTATTTCTTTCAGATTGGAATAATGATTGGTTTTGCCGTGACAGCCTGTGTGGAGGCTGGTGTGATGGTGATCCTATATTCTGTTGTCCTGAATGAGTTTGCACAACGCCTTCGTTGCCCTCAGTATATAGACAGGAACCCTCATAGGTATGCGACCTATGGTTATAATAATGATGACTGTTACTACCGTTACTATGGCTATAGCTATGGCTATTACRGAATGAGCTACTCCACTGCTCAAACTGGTGCAGCAATCTGTTCTCTTATGCTAATTCTTGCTGTGGTGGAGTTCTTTGTGGCTCTTGCATCTTCCATTTATGGCTGCAATGCCTGCTGCTGTACTGGCCCTACGATTCAGGTGATGACCATAATATCAAGTGCATATATACATGTACTGACTGATATGATATGAGGGCTGCCATTAGACTACATGTATTAGTGTTGCGAATGTGTGATTATGCTAAGAATATTTGCATAGGAAAGTAGCTAGTCATTAGGCTTTTTGCACAAAAGTTATTTTATTATTCAACTTTTAAATAATTCATCCCATAGGAATTTTGAGTATTTAAAGAAATAATGAGTCTCAATCATGACGAATTACGGCATTTCTTTCTTTATATTAATACATTTTGTTCCGTTTCTTGTATCATTGTATCATGCTATCTGTTTCCTTTTCATCTTTCCTGTACATTGTATAGCTTGCATAGCCTGGCGTTCCTTGTAGGGTCGGAGAAAAATTGGCTTTAATCTTCCCTGGCCCCAAGATAAACACTTGGCTATGCACATGCTATTTTGGTCATTTTTTTACTCCTAGCCTTGCACTAACTATAAACTCTGCTATTTTTCTGTTCATTTTTCTCTTTTACTCCATTGACAGACCAATGTCCAAAACATCAGCAAAGTTTTTAATAAACATTATTTTTATAGGACTGTATGAAGGTTAATACTGTTATCATATGATAGGTTTAATACTGTTATAGTATGATAAGTTAATACGGTTATTATATGAAAGGTTAATACTGTTATCACATGATCATATGATGACTTATACTACAATCTTATGATGAATATTTTTGCAGGCTCGACAGCAAGTTGCCTACATTCAGCAGCCAGGTGGTAATGTCCTTGTTGTGAACCCTCATGGTGGTATGATCTCTGCTGGAACTACTGTTCAGACAGTCAGTACCTATCCAGGACAGGTTCTGCCAGTCATGCAGAATACACAACCCCAGGTCAGCTTTTAGAAATAAAAATGTGATTTACTATATTCTGCAAACTGAGACATTTCAATGGCTTGTTTAGAATTTGTTTTTTACTGCCACTAGTCATGAAGAACAGAACTATATTCTGTGATAACTGAGACATTTCAATGGCTTGTTTAGAATTTGTTTTTTACTGCCACTAGTCATGAAGAACAGAACTATATTCTGTGAACTGAGACATTTCAATGGCTTGTTTAGAATTTGTTTTTTACTGCCACTAGTCATGAAGAACAGAACTATATTCTGTGATAACTAAGACATTTCAACGGTTGTTTTGAATTTGTTTTTTACTGCCACTAGTCATGAAGAACAGAACTATATTCTGTGAACTGAGACATTTCAACGGTTGTTTTGAATTTTTTTACTGCCACATAGTCATGAAGGACAGAACTATATTCTGTGAACTAAGTCATTTCAACGGTTGTTTTGAATTTTTTTTACTGCCACTAGT